GTCCACTACATCTTGAAAGCAACCTCTCCCTTTCAGCCGTAGTGTGATCACCTGGTCTCGCCATCTATTCTGTAGGAACATAGGCAACTTGCTAATGACAGCCTTCAGATTTGGGGCATGATTTAAGACCGCCATGTGAGACATGGTTTTCATTGCATGACTACGTTTGATTAGGAAGAAGGAAAATCGTCGAAGTTGTTTGGAATCATCATTCTTCATGGATGGCCAAGACAGGACTTGATTAACATAGGCATTTGATACTTTGTAAGGATCGCCATAATGTTTCTTCAAAAGTAACCGTGCTGAACGGTAACCTTCACTTGGTTCCATATACAAGCATCCAGATATCAAATCCTTAGATTCCCCAATTAGCAACTGATCAAGGTAATAGAGTCTATCAACATCCCTTGCAGTATTGGGCACGATTCGTGCATCAAAAGCCATCATAAATGTGATAAAGTCAATAGGGTCACCTTTGAATTTAGGCACTTCTGGTTGTGGCAGCGATGTAGGTGATGGTGTAACTGACGACACGAATGGTGTCATGTTATGATCAGTGGATGGGTAAGATGACATCACGTTGGGAATAGCAGATGGGTATGATGTCACGTTGGGAGCGGCAGATGGGTATGACGTCACGTTGGGAGCGGCAGATGGGTATGACGTCACGTTGGGAGCAGCAGATGGATATGACGTCACGTTGGGAGCGGCAGATGGGTATGACGTCACGTTGGCAGCTGGAGGCTGATACGACGAAGTTACTTTGGGAGCGGCAGGCTGGTATAAATTCTTGACAGCTGGAGGAATAAATCTCAATAGAGGGTTTTCAACTTTAACATTAGTCAAGGGTGTCAGTTCAAACTCCGCTAACACTTTCTCTCTGGCTTTGGCCTTAGCAATTTCCATATCCAATCTTAGTTCTTCAGTTTTTTGTTGTTGCTGCATAATTGCCCCTTGCATAGATTTCTGGGCGTTAAGTTCTGCTAGACGAGCACGTTCTTTTGCTAATGCTGACCTAGTTGACCTAGTAGAGGAAGACTTTGACACTTTTGACCCAGACACCCTGGATACACTCTCAAGCTGATCACTTAACAATCTCTCACTCCTCTCTATCCAACTATCCACGCTAACTCTAAATTCATCCCATGCAACCCTTCTGTCCTCATGACGTTCACTCTCACGAACTCTATCAAACTCTGATGTCAACATGCTGTAATTGGTGCTAAACTGAGCATCATACTGAGAACATAGGTCATTATACTCAACGTAACTATACTTGACTAAATGCAAACTTTCACATGAACCATTTTGCATAAGTTTCAAAAGTTCATTTCTCTTTCTTGTAATAGCCCTCAACAAAGAAGTCTGTTTATTTTTCATCAAGCGCAGCTTTTCTGCTTTACCCTTTTCAGTCAGTGTCTTTTTACGGGCACCACGTCCTGGTATTGCACCAGCGCCATTATTACCACTCTCAGTATTCTGTACAGCAACAGCAGTGGCTTGACCTGGATCCTCTTCATTGGCTTGACCTGGATCCTCTTCATTGGCTTGACTTGGACCCTCCTCAGTGGCTTGACCTGGATCCTCCTCAGTGGCTTGACCTGGATCCTCGAGTTTAACATCAGGATTGTCACCAGATACCACAATATTGTCAAAATTGCCACCTGCTGCCATGATGTTAATAAAATATTACTTGCACAAAGCTGTCAATATATCTACTGAACTTTCAGTTAAATATGCAGTACATGTACAACCACTTGACAGCTATCACTATGCAATGTATTTCATCAATGTCCATATGGTGCACAAGTTCATACTTTAATTTCATAAATTTTCTGAACTAAATGTTGATGCAAGAACTACAAATACGAAAAACTCGCACCATTTAACAAAGTTTATTCACTGGAGCATATTCGTCATGTTCATTTATTCACGTTGTGGCATTTGGTTGTACTGGTGACAATTTGGCAATATAACCTTGACGACATTGAAGTCCACATGTCAAGGGACGGTTAGAAACTGTCGGCACAATACTACACAAATCCATGAATTGGTAACATTAAAGCTGGTCTCTTCCATTAGCCTTTAGATAGACCAGTGTTCATTAAATGGCAAGGTTCATTAAATGGCGAGGTTCAGAAACTAAAAAAGAAACAAAAAATACCTTACTAAATATGCTTTGACAAACAATACCATAAAACAGTTTCTGAAACAAGTTACTTACAGCAGCATAACTTTAAGGCATAATTACTGCTGTGTTAGTAGTTACATTGGCTGAATAATAATTCAAATGAAACATGAATTGAGAATAGAATTATTTCTGCAATGAAATGCAAACATTACTTTAGAATTCCAATTCCTATTCAATAACCATAAGCATGATAAAATACTATACTCAAAAAAAGGCATTACTCCAACCTTTCAGAATTGACAGATAACCTCAAATACATGAAATAAACTTACATTTGTGTTCCAACACTCTTGTCATTACACCATAGACCATCTCTGTTCACACATCTGTACACCTTGAGGCCTTCCACTCTTATGCCATGTGGCTGGATTGCATGAACTGCACATGCTTTGGGTCACATGACCACACACTGCCCTGGCTCCTCTCTAGACTTACTGCTAGGCTCTTATTAAATACTGATTACATGGAAAGACCACTGAAATTACTTCTTGCTTTTTGGTAACTTGTTAGAATATAATTGAAATACAATTTAAATGACAGAAAACTACCTTTGGAAAAGAAAATTATAAAAACAATTTGCAATTAGCCTTGAAAACAAAATCTGCATTCACAGTGTTAGTACCTACACCGAAACGTCGCACTCATTGCAATAAAGAAGTTGACTATCCATAGAACTTGGTTTTCCTTCATCTATACAACTTCTAAAATGCCTCTCAGAGAAGACTTTTTCTGATGCAACTAAAACAATGCACGTGCATACTGACGGTATAAAACAGCCTACGCGACACGTGAGCAACACAGTAGTAAAAAGAAAAAGAAATATGGCAAGTTTGAGGCAAATCGAAAGAGAGTGAGAGAGAGAGAGTGAGAGAGAGAGAGAGAGAGAGAGAGAGAGAGAGAGAGAGAGAGAGAGAGAGAGAGAGAGAGAGAGAGAGAGAGAGAGAGAGAGAGAGAGAGAGAGAGAGAGAGAGAGAGAGAGAGAGAGAGAGAGAGAGAGAGAGAGAGAGAGAGAGAGAGAGAGAGAGAGAGAGAGAGAGAGAGAGAGAGAGAGAGAGAGAGAGAGAGAGAGAGAGAGAGAGAGAGAGAGAGAGAGAGAGAGAGAGAGAGAGAGAGAGAGAGAGAGAGAGCTGTCGGAATGGCCCAACAAGGAACTAACCACACTCATTGCTAGAATCTTCGGCTGCACCCGAGCAACTGTCATCAGACTGATGCAGCAGGTCAAAACAGGCACTACATCAGAAACCACGTCAGAGTGGTCGACCACGTGTGACAACGCCCGGTGATGATAGCCCTAGCTTTTGCCTGTACAGTAATTACGACCGGTCTCGTGTTTACAGACGAGTGGGTGAACGTTTGGCGCCGAACTGCGTTCAGCAAGTCCAACCGTTTGTTGACGATAGCGTGATGGTGTGGGGGGTCATCGGAGGCGAGCTCAAAACGATACTTGTGATTATTCATGGTAACCTGAATGCTCGAAGATACAGGGATGACGTTTTGCGACCAGTTATGTTACCATTTATTGTCTACCAACACGATAACGGAAGACCTTATACAGCAGGCCTTATACAAACGGCTTTCTGCATAACGCTAAGATCGTTGTTTTGCCATGACCAGCATATTCTCCCGACATGAATCAGGGAGAACACTCATGAAACTACCTGGATCCACAAATCAAAAGATTTAACAGCGCCAACTGTCATCGCTCAACAACTGGAACAATGTGTCCTTCAGGAATGGCAAGGGATCAAACCCAACGTCATTTGTCGTCTCACGTCATCAATGAATTAAATTGTGTACATTTGCTGTAGAATTGAATACTCTATTGAAATATACACATGCTCATTTATATATGCTTTTGTTTTCTTGTCAAGTTAGGTCAAACACACTGCAAACTTTCTTTTGAGCACTAGTTTATAAATATCAGAAACATCATAAACTGAGTGAGTGAGTGGAGTTTTTACGCCGCACTCAGCATTATACCAGCTATATAGCGGCGGTCTGCAAATAATCGAGTCTGGACCAGACAATCCAGTGATCAAAAGCATGAGCTTCGATCTACGCAATGGGGAACCGATGACATGTGTCAACCAAGTCAGCGAGCCTGGCCACCCGATCCCATTAGTCGCCTCTTACGACAAGCATGAGTTACTGAAGATCAATTGTAACCCGGATCTTCACGGGTTCATCATAAGCTGATATGTTTACTTTTCGTATGACTTTAAATATCAGAAACATCATAAGCCGACATCTCTACTCTGAGTCTCACTTAAATTGTAAGAAATATAATATAACTGGTATGATTACGTTGCGTCTTTAAACATCGGAACATCTCAATCCAACAACTTCATTTTAAGTCCACCTTTGAATCTAGTGACGTATTTACCGTGCTCTTTGATTTCCCAACCGTAACTGCTATAACAGAGCTATAAAGCTTTGGCAATAAACTGACAGACACTGTGTTTAGGAAGTTGAAAGAAACAACGAGCATCCGTCCATGACAAGTATATCCCAACAACACAGTGTTTATCTCCAATCCGTGATATTGAATGGGTATGTATAAAGCCAGTCAGCGATCCCTTAAACTGCTTTTACTCATACAAATAGTACTGTTTAATGTTTAAAGACTCTTGTTGGGTCACTTGGTGTTTGGCTGGTTAGTATTGCCATAGCCGGGGGGTATGAACATTCCCTTGGGACCTTCGCAAACGTTTATTCACCCAAGTGCATAACGTCAATGATATGCCCACTAACGAAAGAGAGAGATGAACATACTGCTGACGGATTTTGACGCCTCAGTTGACTGTCAGCCATGGCGCTGACAACATCCAGCGTGATTCTTTTCCAATTTATTGTCGTCTTCTGTTACGGCATGAACCCCACTACTATCCTGAATCTAGGTGGTTCATACGACAAAATTCTCCAGGGACATGGTTATGAGTTGTTGAAAGTTAAAACACTGGAACATTGTCACAGAATTTGTCTGTACTCACCGAAGTGTTTGTCTGTAAATTGGAACATAAAGACAAAGTATTGTCAACTGAACTCGGAAGACTCCGGTACTGGAACTCTGATGATGTCCACGGGAGACGTGTACGTCCCTGCGCTGAGTTCCAACATCAAGGTAAGGTTTGCTTGTTGGATGAGGTGGGTAGGCTCGATCTCATGATAGCTGTTTCAAGCATCAGTTCCCTCTCTCTTCCCTCTAGTTCGATTGACACACACTCAGTTGTAACGCAGAGGCTACAACATATGGTGTTTGTAAAGTCATAAACTGTATAAATCAGCACAGGGTTTTCAAAATCATTTGCTCGTTTGGTTTTCTTTTGTTTCAAGACAACGATACATTGTTAATGATTTCAGGTTTCTTTTTGTCGTTGTTGTCTGTAGTGACTGAATATGGTTTTGTGCATTTAGCAATATTTGATTACTATTTGAGCAGGCTACAGCAATTCTGCTTCACACATTGTACCGCTTATAAGAAGAGTACATGTAAGAGGTAGATGTGGACGCGAATATATTTTCGATTTATTACCTAAGAGGGCAAACATATCGGGGTTCATATTTTCCATACGATGCCCTAGGGCAAAATATCACTTTGTCATGGTGACGTGACGTCATGAACAAGGCTGTGACGTCACGTTTCTCCTGTGACGTTGCTTTCTACATGCGGCGACGGCGGGTAGCCAGCCTGTGTTTGAAAGTAGATTTGGATTTATTTTCCTCAATTTGACGACTTCGGTAATAAACAGAATATTATATTCGTGCCCATATCATACTATGTTTACGACACTCGTGCCAAAATATCGGTATATCCCTCGCTCTCGCTCGGGAAATACCAACATTTAAGCACTCGTGTCGTAAACATAGTATGACATGTGCACTCATATAATATCCTCTATTTAGTGAGATATGTCCACCTTTGGCTTTACCCGATTTTTGTTACAGTAGACACTAGTAACATAAGACTTAAACTGAACTGAGATTGAAGATGATAAATATGTTTCATGTAGAAATGCTTGCTTTTGATGTCATTTTTAAAGTACTTGTAGAATTAAAGTGAGTGGTAAGTGAGTGAGTAGGGCTTTACGCCACTTTAAAAACATATTCTTGCAATACAACGGTTGGGGAAACCATGGGTGCATCACTCATTGCCTTCGGTGTGACGAACGAACGTTTTACTACTACCTCACCGCCCCTTTTTGCTGAGACGAATGTGTCACTGTTCAACATTCATATGTTCTTATATATACTCACACGCAAAAGAAACGCATGTTTATCCAAATAGGAAACAAACTCGGAACCCTAAATTGATATGCGCTTTTGGCATATAGTGAAGGCTGATGATGTTATCAATCATTTTTGTTGCGTTTTGGAAGGCCCGAGTAAAAACACATGAAAAGAAGGAATCACCAAAACTCACCACACCAATGAACATGTGGGTATCATGCACACATTTCTCGTGAAATCAAACATGCACGAATTGTCACCACCATCTGTGGGTATAAGAATGTGCACACAAAAATTGGGCCTATCACTCCTTGTTCAACAATTCCATGCTTAACTCCAACTGAGAGAAACCAAACTATCGGACGTTTGGAAGCTGGAGAGTCTGTCCAAGATGTTACCTGTCATTTCAACGTAAACATAAGCACACTTCACTGTCTCCAGCATCAGTACAACGCAACACAGACCACAGATGACCTTCCTCGGAGCGATTGTGCCAAGGTAACTACCACTCGACAAGATCGGCACATTACCATACCAGCGAGATCTGTTCTTGTCAACCCTTTACCGTTCGAAAACTTAATGATGTCATCAGTCTTTGCATTCTCTTCCCACAGAGGTTACTCCTGTCATATCTTCCTACGTAACCTCTGTTATATATACGGCCATATTTCCCGGTTCTCGTAAAATCCCCTAGCGGCAAAAGATCGCAAAGCGAATTATCTCCCTTCTTTCTATCCAATCAGAACACTTGTTACATCGACTTAGATTCAACTTGACTAACACAAGCAAATGTGGGGCCACAAATATCCCCCATCTGCCGGGGACTTGTGTTGATGTTACACACAAGACGTTTAATGGCTAGCTTGTCCGTTGTCAACGAGGGCGATGGAGACGCCACGCCACTTTCTAGAAGAAATGTTTGCGCATCGCGCAGGGGAAGAGGTTTAGTTTTCTCGAAGCATACGGAAATTACCGAGGCCTTGCGAATGATCACTTTTGAAACAACGTCGCTGATTGCACAACTAAATCTGATTGCCTCCAATCACGAGTCTTGAACGCTCACACCACGAAAGGGCCGTATTAGAACAGAGGTTACGTAGGAAGATGTGACAGGAGTTACCTCTGTGGGAAGAGAATGCAGTCTTTGCAGCCAATGAAATGTCTTCACTCAATTTTGTGTCCATCTGACCCTGTTGGTATTTCTTGTCTTTTAAAATTGAAAGTTACATGCATACTTTATACTCGACTTGCGTTGCTTTTGCGTGTGAGTACATGTATAGACATATTTCGATCATCCATCCATGAAACAAATCCCCAACGACAGCAATGCGTTTGCTTTAATTAGAATCCGTGACAGTGAGTGGATATGTGAGTCTCATTCACCTGGTGGTCCTAAAGGTCAGAGGTCTTTAATGTTTTAAGACTTTCCGTCAATGTCTTTATTCATGCAGTGGCAAGGGACCTAAAATACACAAGCAACATTTAGTTACTCGTGACGGCCATTGTTTGGAAGTTAATCTTACAAAAGAGAGGAGAGAAATACCCTTTTGGCGGAGTCCAACGCCTCAGTTGACAACGTCCAGTGTGATTCTGTTCCAATGTTTTGCCGCCTTCTGCAACGGCATCAACCCCACCACTATCCTGAATCTGGGTGGTTCATACGACAAATTCTCTCGGGAAATGGTTATCAGTTGTTGAAACTTAAGACACTGCAACATTGTCACAAAGTTTGCCTGTACTCTCCGAAATGTTTGTCTGTAAATTGGAACATGAAGACAAAGTATTGTCAACTGAACTCGGAAGACGTCGGTACGGGGACTCCTCTGATGATGTTAAGACAGCTATTCTTTTTTGTCCGTTAGGACGACCTTTAGCGCTAGGTGTGCTAAAGGTGCTGTCAGGCCTCGATTTGGGGAATTAGCTATAGGGAGCGAGCCTTGAAACCTTGAAACAAGAAAGGAGACAGAGCTGTGAGATCCAGGGTTTATTCAAGCAAGTGTCCTTGCATGAAATTCAATATACATCATACATAATAATGACATACAATAATAGAAATAGTAATCAATGATATCCTAATACAGTTTATATCTAAGTCCGGTAATATAAGCAATGTGTGGTACAACAGGGTATGTACGGTAACTGCTTACAGAAACATAATACAAATAATACAACATTTTCTTGAGTAACTACGGTACTGATAAATAACATAACCTGACGGATAAATTAATCATCAACAACAATTGCAAAGAACAAGTACTGAGTGGAGCGCCCAACAGTTTAATTACAGCATGTAGTGCCTAGTCCATTAACTGTTGTGCGGATTTATGACTATTACGATATGTCGCGCCTAATGCGTTAACTACGGTACCGATTTATGACAATTACGGTATGTAGTGCCTATTGCGTTAACTACGGTAGGAATTTATGACTATTACGGTATGTTGCACTTAGTGTATTGACTATGGTAGGAATTTACTATTATTACGGTATGTCGCGCTTAATGCATTAACTACGGTAACGATTTATGACTTGTGTAAGTAATTTCCGTTATCAACATACATGCCTTGAGCAAATATGGCAAACGGCGCGCAGTGCTCAGATTTGACATATACCATTTAACTCCGGTATTGACTGTACGCATTCTAACTGTAACATTTATTTCCTCAATACAATAATTTCGGTAGATACGGTAAGTGGAACTAGAGAGTGATATAAATATGTGTAACTACGGGGACAGACGATATAGGTTTAGCTAGAGTACTACTACTTTGTCCCATCCTGAATTATTTGGGTGACTACGATAAATGTATTTCGACGGTGATGTTGCTATTGGCAACGTGTAATTTCGACATAAACGGAGTTAAGCCATGACCTAGAATATATGTAATGCTGTAGTGCTACATTTTTGTGCTTTACAAAACAAGACAGTAACTTAGTTAAATGAATATGTAATAATGTACCAGGACGGCGCTGTTGTTATTGGCTACGCGAATTTCTTAAATTACGGAGCTAAACAAATACGGAACGAAGACTGTAATTGCAAACTACACGGATTTGAATGTATATTTTCTGGTAATATGAAGAGTAGACAATACCATTTTCTACTGATTACGGTAATGTGATTCGCGTATAAACTGTTTTGTCCGTCATACAACTGCACGCGGAACGGAACGTTTAATACATCATTATTCAAATTCTTATAGTGTTGGTGAAATATCAAAACACAAATGTTGGCTGTTATACCTATCATGTGAGCGCGTATCTGAGGTAAATCTACACGAATATCATTTGATCGGCGGACTATAGTAAAATACATAAAACTTCGTCTTTGCTGGAAATGATTGTATAAACTCTCGGAACTGTTTTTGTGACTAAGCTACTAGAATCTAGGCCACTGAACGAGAATCTAACCTGCACATACAGATCTAACACGCAAATGAATAAAACAAGACAAAAGGTGGGAATACACACATGTGTGTCGCAACATAGAAAAGAAATATTCGTTTGTACATGAAAAACATAATCTTGAGAAGCCCACGACGCAATGTGCATAAATAAATATCCCTGGATAGTGCCTAATAACTAATCGGTTATCTAGAACTAGCATTTGCAATGAAAAAGTGCTTCAATGTTGTAGGAATGTTTCTAACCTAACTCTAACATTTTCTAGACGATAATTACAAAGAAATACCAAGTGAAACATAAACAATAATAAAGTTTAAATGTTTCTTACCTTGAAACAAGAAAGGAGGCAGAGCTGTGAGATCCAGGGTTTATTCAAGCAAGTGTGCCTGAGGTGGAAGAACCCAGGATTTTATACCCCACAGCTCTACTCGTTTGTCATTATCAAGTTTCTATAAAGTTGAAGTTTCCATATGCGTTATCTACCCTATG